TCAAGTCTCTTTGCTTAGGATGAGGATGGGGGATGTGAGTCTTTAGAGGATATCCGGATGAGCAGGAAGGCAGTTGAAGTGCGGTCCCAGCCAGGAAGGCAGAGGGGTGCACCAGCAAGTCAACGATGCTGCCAGAGTGTCCCGGCACCCCTGTTCTGGCTCCGGTGCCAGGCTTAGGCAGAAGCACTGCTGACAGAGCTGTTCTCACTCTGTTCATAGGACCGTTAAGATACCTCAGTAACATAAAAAGTTTGGGATTAGCCCAGCATTTATAACATTTTTCTTCTTTCTTCTGTTTAGGCTTATTACGCCCGTGATGCTCTGGCTAAGAATTTATACAGTCGACTGTTTTCTTGGCTTGTTACCAGAATCAATGAAAGCATTAAGGTATTGTTGTTTTGTGCCTGTAAAAAAATCAATAGAAATCCTTTAAATTAAAGTGGACAGTAAAACTGTGTTTGACAATTTCGTTTTTCCTGGTTGTCCACTTGTTGCACTTGGTACACTTGGTGAATAAATGTATCACAGCTCAACAAATTACTGTCTGCTCTGTTTTTAAGCTTATGAAAATATTCACATTAAGTGTATTTTGGAAAAAACATACTTAACATTTCAGTTTACAGAATTTGGCATCCTACTTCTGAGATACATTAGTTTTCTTGATTCCCAAGTATGAAATGTACAGATGACTGATTCAATGTTTAATTTTTTTTAAGGCACAAACAAAAGTGAGAAAGAAGGTAATGGGGGTGCTGGACATCTATGGCTTTGAAATTTTTGAGGTAAGACCTTTATAATGGTAAACATTTAACGTGAGAGCTGTTATTAAAGCTTAATAGAATGGTTTATGAATTTATAATCAGAATACATGTCATTCCTGACAAAAAAAAGCTAGAAAAGTAAGGCAAAGAGAGATGTCTTAGCATGTCTGGCAATTGAAACAAAAATTTATGAAAGCCAAACTTGTGTTTTTTACACCATAGGTAAATAAATATTTATGATGGGTCAATGAAATATATTTTGTTGTGACACACATTCTGAGCACAAGAAAAACTCTGGCAGTATCATTTCTGCCTTGAGGCATTTTGCGGATGTCTTTGAACAAGCTTTGTATCCTTTAAAAACCGCAATAAAAACTATACATTTTTTCCTGTCAAAATTAAACAAGGAATTATATTCTATTTCATCTCGATTCACTTAGATAAATAATCTGTACTGATTCCTAGCTAACAATCTGTGGCTCGCTGCTGTTTGTTTATGATAGTATTTTTACACTGGTGGTATTTTGAAACAAAAACAATCATCAAGGAGTTTTTAATTGGATTAGAGAACACCAAGGAGAGGGAGTTTTCATAAATCTTATTCTGACAGTTTATTTTAAGAGATTTATAGATCTTGGTTGGAATCTGTATGGTGTTTAAACTAGAAATTCAATTGGGGAGAAAAATCAATAGAAAACATGAGATCCTTACCCACTTCCCTACATCCCTCTTGAAAATCCAGGGAGTGTGTTTAAACTGTGTAGAAGATGGGAATAATCCAGCAAAGAGTAATTATACATGGGAGGGTGGTGTAAGTTTTATTTCAGAAGCATAACATCAAAGTATGTGCAAATCAAAATACCTCTCTGAAGAGGAAAAACAAAGCTGATACTTGCTTCAGGGGTTTACTAAGCTAGGTTGTATTGTTTGCATTAAACATGAGAGCATATTTATGAAAATATATTGCAAATGGTCAGGTGGCTGAGTGGAGATCTGAGTGCCAGATCTCTTTGGAGCTGGTCCTTGGCGTACCTTTAGAAAGCTGGACACCGGAATGGTACTGCTGGCATCTTTGGGCAAGACTCTTGTTTTCACTAGCTCTTTCTTTTATGTTTGGTTAAGGATAAACATGTAGGGTGAGATGGGAGACAGAAGCTTGCACTAGTGCACAAGCCAACTGAGTAATTGTGTTTGTGGGATGGTGTTCCAGAGACAAGGTTGTTTCTCGTAGGTAATTTTCCTTTTTTTTGTAGGAGTTCACCATCTCAGAAGGTCATAAGTAAGTAGTTGAGTACAGGAGATGTAGTTTTGCAGAAGAAAAATGAAAAAACAAGGCTCTTTTCACGTACCTTTCATACTGAATTACAGTGTAGCTTTCCCAATTCATGCAAACCCAAAAACTTTAAAATAATATAGGTAGTTATTGTTCACTCCTTTAAATGCTGAGTATTGGTTCTACTGGAAAAGATGGGAAAGGTTTGCCTTGTGACTTGAGGGTCAAATTTATCAGTACATTCACACAAGCCAGGACTCTTCCCCTCATGAGTTAAGACCTGTGGTGAGAGCCCTAGCCAAGCAGCTTGGTTCAGCATCGCAGAAGTAATGGAATTATTTCTGAACATTCAAAATGGAAGTCAGGTCATGTGCCAGAATCATACGTGGCTTGTACTATACCATATTTTAATTTAAAGATGTTTGAAAAAGAAACTTGATTGGTTTAGTTTCTAGAGGTAACTAGTACAGTTACTGGTATTGGGACTGCACAGCAGTACTGGATTTCAAAGGGTGAATGATAGAAAAACAATCCATTAGAAAATCCTGAATCAGCTGCCTTTCCGGTGCCACCCACTTAGCCATCCTTGTGTTTCCAGACAGGTTAATTTTATAATCAGAAACTGCTGACTTACTCTCAATTGAATCAAAAGCAAAGATATTCTTTCAAGACAAAACAAAATTCATTTTCAATGCAGCTCTAGTTGGAACAAAAGATGTTGTTATGTCATAATCCTTAAATTGAGTAAAATAATTCTGTAATGAACACTGTGTAGGCAAAGTGTAACTGGTCTTGTGGTTGCTTGAGTGAATGTCATGTAGTATGGTCAATTAAGAGGATGCTCGCCAAATATTTTTGTCAAGTTTTGTAACAAATGATCAAATCTCACAAAAAATTATTAAAGGTCTCGAGAAAATGCTTACAAAAACCAATTATTGTTGAGAATTTAAGTAACCACTTCACAGAAAATATATTGTTTAAAGTTAATTATATTCAAGCAATCAATAAATGAATGAAATTTTAACACTGTACAGTCCTGTAACTCAAGGAAAATTCAATAATGTCTTCAGATTTATAGCATAAAACCATTAGTGGAATTGGGAGTGTTTTGCTGTGTGCCACATTTGTAAACATGATGGCTAAACATCCACAATAATAACTGAGGTATAGCTAATGGCAGTCACTATATCCGATTATAAATTACTAAAAACCTCTGAATAAAAATGTGCTGTTTCCTTTTGAACCTAATTCCTAAGTCAGATTTTGATTTTCATGTCTGTTCTTTAAGGCGAGCACTAACATCATCTCTACAGAGAATGTTTTTTTGGCAAAAATGTATTTGAAAGTCTTCTTCATCCGTAAACTTAAGCATTTTAAACTTGTAAGCTATTTGATATGCTGAAGGTAAAAAGGCATGCTTTAATCATGTTTCTACTCAGGAAGCAGATCATTAGTGCACATTCTTTGACCTAAAGTGTCCTTGTACCTTGGAGACAGAGCATATCAGAAAACATAGAAGGTGTAGTAGTAGTTTTTTATATATTTGCTAAATATTTACACATGAAGCTTAATATCATTGAAATACATAGCAAGATACGGGTTTACTGAAGGGTGATTTTTTTTTTTCCCCTTTAATATTACACATAGCTATTAAGATTGCTGAAAGAATAAACTAATGGTGTTGTAGTTTACTGGTTTTGTGCTGAGATTCTCACTTAAAAGTTATTGGAATACATTATAGAATAGTCTGCTTCCCACTGCAAAATCATTAGTTTGCTACAGGGTTTTGAGGCTTTTGTTTTGTTTCATAATGGGCAGGGCAGACAATATTTCTTGGGCCTGATTCCCATTTAGGATGATTCCTTAGATCATCCTACAATTCCTCCTGTAAGAAGAGTAAAGAAATCCAGATTTACCATTCTGAAAGATCCTACGCTTCACCCTCTGATGACAATAGTAGTATTGTTCTATTATATGCAAATTGAAGCTTATATAAATGAGATTTTTTTTTCATCTATTTTTGAAAGATTTCGTTATTCACTGCAATTTCTACAACTTTCTGTAATTTAAGCTGAAGTTAATTTACAAACTAACTGGAGGTTTCTTGAAACTTAACAAAGGAAAGATACTGGAGTATTGATAATGCTGGCATATACTCTTTGGGACTTGGTTTCCACTAGTATTTTTTATCAAGCACAAACCCCATTTTTTAGTCAAACCCAAAAGCTATCCAAGGAAGCAGACTTAGAACTTGGCTGTCCAAAAATTCAGATTAGGGAATTTAAATCTATCGATAATCCTCAGCCTCTGCGGGTTTGGCAGATGTCAACTGCAAGCTTGGCTAAACAATCCCCAAAATAGGTGCTGTAAAGCTGTGTTTATTTTTGAATCCTGCCATGCCCTTTGTGGTAAGCTGTGTGCTGGGACTGAATGTTCTGAAAGCAAAATACTGAAATTTTGGGGGTGTCTGTGTGAATTGTCTATGGGTAAGGATTTAGGGACTAGGATTAGTGTGAAAATGCAGGCTACAGGACCGGGTTAGTTGTGTAACGCTGCTGGAGCTTGAGCAATGGGTTGAAGCCTGACACTAATTGCTCCAAGTATGTTTATCCACATTTTTGAGCGGCTGCATGCGTAGTCAGTCTGCAGTCTAGACTGTGATTTGAGATGGGGCAGGGATGATGGTTGGTGGTACTGGGGATTTCAGAACCAGCTCGATTGCAGACCTCCTGGGCTAGGTTTAGGGCTGGTCCTGGTTTATTCCATGTTTGATTCTGTATTTTTGGGCAGAAGAGGTTTCTGCATCTCTGCAAAATGTTGGAGTAGGGTTGTGGAAGGAGTGGAGTTTATGAGAAAGAAATGAAGGCTATAGAAGGCAGATAACTGAGGGCCTGGCAGGTTTCAACAAAGATGAGCCGAAGACTCATTCTGTTCAGTTTGGATGTTTAATTTTCTGTCGTGTACGTTTCCTGTGCAGACGAGGGCTTGGGTATGTAAAAATGAATGTCATGGAGCAAGTGTGAATATTTCATCCTGCCTAGCCTTCAGAGATAAAAATGTCTGTCTGTGCTTGTTGGCTTAAAGGCTTTATTCTGAATTTTTAGGCACCACTGCGTAGCTGGTCCGTATGACGAAGCTAATGATTTGGAGTGCAGTTTTACAAAAGTTAAGGCTGCCAAACAAGGCTTATTCTTGAAATTTGCCAGGCCCTGACAGAAGACAGTTTGTGAGTGTGAATGCTTTCTGCTCAGTCCCTTGGCAGAGCAGTTTGTTCCATGTATTTCAGCCTGACGAGAGGTGGGGATGCACTGGGGATAGAGCTGCAAAAGTAAAGGCTGCAGAAAGAGAGGGACTGCGTCCGTTTGGCCCTCAGACATTTGCTGAGGGTTGACCTGAGGTGGTGTGAATGCCTTGTCTTTGGGAACAGCATCTGACCAGCTCTGATTGCTCCAGGTATACAAGAACGTGCAAAGATATGGCAGCATCTGTCACATTCTGCATAAAACCCAGCAGTAAATAAAAATACTGTGAACAAAAGAGCCAAACAAGCCACCCAGCAGTAAACCCAGGTCCATTTCTCAGAGTCTGTGATGCACTTTGATAGTGCTTCTATTTATGGCAATTAGCTTGTTTCTTGTGTGTAGAAGTCCCTTGTGGTGATGGAAAGAAGATTGGTCATATTGCCGTATGACATAAACTGTCGTCTGGACGTTGATAAAATGCCAGTATCTTTATTAGGGGAATCTGT